TGAAAATGCATCCTGAATATTTTTAACAGACCTGCTTAGTTAAACATCTTCTGAGACTAGAGCCTAAAATGAATTCTAACATTCTGAAAACTGGTAGTAACTGAGGACGGGTCGAGGGGTTTGCAGAAAGCCATAGTTATGTCTGCCCTAAGACTACATAACATGCTTCTATCTTCTATCAATTTTATCCCCCTCCCCTTCTTTCTTATAGGGCCATTCACTTCAATGGAGACATTTTAGGATTGGCTCACATGGCCGGCATGTGTGACCCGAAGCGTTCTACAGGAGTTGTTCAGGTTAGTAGAAAGGATACCTGTTATCTATTTGTACTCAGATGAAAACTTATATACAGGCAAAACTTCTTTACAAATGAAGTATATTCTTATTTTTGATCCACGCCATTTTCATCCATATTTATTTATGATTTGACATCTCCAGGTCCTGCCTCAACTTATGGCATTTTGGCACAAAGCATTCTTTTTTTATGCAATGAGCTATATGTCAAAGACGACAATATATTATAATGTTTCTGGATCCAGAGGAGTCAAACCATGCTCTAAATGCTAAATGAGCAGGTCAAATCATGTTACAATACTTCCAAATAATGCTTCTGAACAATATTCTTAGCAATCCTAATGACAAACATGAATCACCCTACTTTCATGCCAAGAAATTTAGTATCTAGATTGCATGTGACTGAATTCTAGTACATTGAGAAAATGAAAGAATACTAAATCTACTTAAAAGTATAGGGTTTCCTGCCTGAGCAGGGGTTTGGACTAGATAACCTCCAAGGTCCCTTCCAACATCATCATCATCATCGTCGTCGTCGTCATCGTTATTATTATTATTATTATTATTATTATTATTATTATTATTATTATTATTATTAAAAGGAAAAAACTCCTGGATTTTAAGATCCTGCAAGAAAACCATATTAGTTAAGGTGATGCTATGCATTTATTGAGAAACAGTTAACTTAGTTTTTTGTTCACATAGAAAGAATGGAGAGACATGGCAATAAACAAAACTTACACAAGAAAGCTCATAAAGTTTTGTTTCTTAATAAGCAGATCCTGGTATTAGGAGGTATTCGTAAGTCTGCTTGCTCAAGAAGGTCATTTTACTCAGAAAGACCAACTCATTCTTAAGTCTGTACAGGATGGCTACCTTCAATATTCAGAAAATGCTAGCTTGTAGCAAAAGACACTGAGTAGTTTTTGGACTGAAGTTGCCTGTAAGTTTTAGTAACTGAATAAATGCAGACAGCAAATGGATGCATAAGTTTTGATCTTCTCCTGTGCTGTAGCTTCTGGGCTTTAAAGTTTCCTTCTAGATGTATTTGTATATGTTCTGGAGTCTTGGTGTGCACACATATATTCAAAAAAGCTAGAGGAATCCTGAGATAGTATCCTCAACTTAAAATTGGTCACTTAGTCACCAGTTTTAGCCACTTAGTGCTAATAATAATTGGATTCACTTTCAGTTTCCTGGCAGACTAACAATAAACAAAGTATTCTCTTTCCTTCAGGATTATAGCTCAAGAAATCTTGTGGTTGCAGTTATAATGGCCCATGAGATGGGTCATAATCTGGGCATTCATCATGATGGAAAAGCCTGTACTTGTGGTGGTTTCTCATGTATTATGGCTGACAGGTTAAGGTAAGGATTGAGGAAAACTTTTAATGCCTTTCCAATCAAGTTATTTTTAAATGGTTGCAATTAATTGTTAAATTAAATATACTGAGAACTTACAAAAATGAAATGGCAAGGGAGTTACAAAAAAGGGGTTTTTGATCATTTGTGTGTCTCTTTACCATGTGTAGTTAAAATGTGTCGGATTTAAAAAGGTAGAAATGTTCTCAACAATTGAATAGCCAGCATTCAGTAGCTTCCTCCAAAATGCCAGAGTTTAAAGCAGTGGTTCTCAACCTTTTTAATGCTGCGACCCCAACCGATCATAAGTCGAGGACTAAACCGGTCGTAAGTCGAGAACTAAACCGGTCGTAAGTCGAGGACTACCCAACCGGTCGTAAGTCGAGGACTTTCCCTGCCCGGGAGCGCCACGCATGCGTGGTTCTGCCCCCTGTGCCACTGGCAAGCGGCAGAGACTGAGCAGGCCAACCACCAGCTGGCCCAGCTCAAGGGAGGTAAGGCACCCGCCGGAAAAGGGGAAAAAAATAGCGGACAAAAAAAATGGCGGACAAAAAAAATGGCGGACAGCCTTCCTTGGCGACCCCCGTGAAATGGTCGATCGACCCCAAATGGGGTCCCGACCCACAGGTTGAGAACCACTGGTTTAAAGAAGCAGCGTAGGAAGCATAGCCAAAGAAACCAAATATTAATATCTGTGATGGATAAAAGAGGAAACCAAGTTAGACATTAAAGACTTTCCTAACGTGGGACGCAGAATGGGGCCCCCAGAGTTCAGGCCCCCAGGAACAACTTCAAACATGGCTCTGCTGCTTGGCGGGGGGCCCCAACATGGGCCTGCTACATTAGGGATGGCTGATGGAATAGTGAAGACACTCATCCCCAGGCTGCCCATCATGTTTCTTAATTTTTACCTTTTTTTCTAATTTTAATTGTTTGTGGCGTTTTCTAACTTTTTATTATATCGTAAGTCACCCAAAAGTCATTCTATTAGTGAGATGGGGGACATGGGAAATAAATGAATGAATATTTGCAAATAAGCAAAGGAACAAACCTCATTCTTATTAATTAGTATGAACTGACTGCTTCCTTTTCAGAGATGTAAAATGTGGCAGGTTATACTGCTTAGATAATTCACTTGGATACAAGATTCGTTGCCGTTTCTACTATACATTCAGAGATGAAAATATTGGGATGGTTGATTATGGAACAAAATGTGCAGATGGAAAGGTTAGTAAAAGATTACCTCTAATCTGTTGGCTCTAAAGTATGATTCCAAGGGGTGATCACTAAAATAATTTTGCAATTGATCAGTACTAAAAGCTGGTCTAGATTTTCCACACTATAGTGAATCTAAGTAGAAGAAAAAGTGTCCATCTAGCCCAGTGGTTCTCAACCTTTTTAATGCCGCGACCCCAACCGGTCCTAAGTCGAGGACTAAACCGGTCGTAAGTCGAGGACTAAACCGGTTGTAAGTCGAGGACTACCCAACCGGTCGTAAGTCGAGGACTTTCCCTGCCCGGGAGCGCCGCGCATGCATGCTTCTGCCCCCTGTGCCGGCCGAGGCGTAGCTGGCAAGCGGCAGAGACGGAGCAGGCCGACCACCAGCTGGCCCAGCCCAAGGGAGGTAAGGCACCCACCGGAAAAGGGGAAAAAATGGCGGACAAAAAAAATGACGGACAAAAAAAATGGCGGACAGCCTTGCTTGGCGACCCCCGTAAAATAGTCAATCGACCCCAAATGGGGTCCCGACCCACAGGTTGAGAACCACTGATCTAGCCTTTTTGGTTGTTGTTATTTTGCTTTTCCTTCAAACAATAGCCACCACAAATGAGGTGAATGTCCAGGGCTGTTTCTTTCTTCCAAGAACAAAGTGCCTGGTCTTCTCAGAGCCTTGTGCTTCTCTCTCGCAGCATCTTCTGGATGGACTGTCAAGAGACAGTCCTTTCTCTGAACTTGTAGGCATCTCCATAGGGAAGGTGGAAGAGAGAAATGAGAGAATCAGGGCAGAGCTGGTTGTGACCTAACAATGAAGCAATCCCAAAGCTTCCCTTAATGGATCAGGAGTAACTTTCCCTTGATTTTTATACAATATAGAACTGAAAAAAGTTTTAGTTAGTTCAAAAGGTGCTGTCTTACTCCATTGATAATCTCTTGCTTTGACTTTCAGGTCTGCAGCAATGGGGAGTGTGTTGATCTGAATATAGCCTACTAATCAACCTCTGGCTTCTCTCAGATTTGATTTTGGAGATCCTTCTTCCAGAAGGTTTCACTTCCCTCAAGTCCAAAAACCCATCTGCCTGCATCCTACTAGTAAATCACTCTTAGCTTTCATATGGAATCTAAATTATGCAATATTTCTTCTCCATATTTAATCTGTTTACCTCTTGCTGTAATCAAACCTTTTTCCCGCCACAAAGCTCCATGGGCATGTACAACACCAAGAGCTTATTTGCTGTCAAGAAAAAAAATGGCCATTTTACCGTTTCCCAATTCCAGAGCACATTTAATGCAACAAGTTCTGCCTTTTGAGCTGGTGTATTCGAAGTCAATGCTTCCTCTCCCAAAATTTCATGCTGGCTT